CAACATCAAGAGAAGAGACTCACACCCCACAATCTCCACGGCGGGGATCCTGCGAGGGACTAATGACTCCCGGACAACCACTGCTCCTCCCCCACCCCTTCTCTTGTATCGTGGTTGGTGGAGCACCTGGAACCCATCTGGGCACATTTCTGAGAGGGGGACTCCTCCCTCTTGGCCCAGCCAGGGTTCAGTTATACATGCCAGGTCTGCCCCCTCGTCTAATATTAAGTCCCGGACGAGGGGAGCCTTATTCACAACAGACCTGGCATTTAGCAGCAGCAACCTGAGACCAGGGCCCTGATCTCCTCTGCCACCAGGTTCTTGAGGTGAGCCTGAAGGGCCGGAACAAGGAATCGCTGTAATGTAGCGAGTCCTTCTTCCCTGGTAATGGCTAGCCGTACAGCTCCCGTCATATCTGCCCCTCCCAGCTGTAACCGAGATGCTCCGACCCTCTCCCCCCCCATGCACCTCCCCTCCCATGGCCCCCGTTCTTCCCGGCAGGCCACACACCCCATTCACTCTGGGGCGAGGGGCAAATTCGGGCCCCCATCCACTTCTGCTTCTGCACTCGGTGGAGGGGGCTCCAGCTCGCACCCCCAGACCTATCATGTTCACTCAACAAACATTCTGCACTGACGCACCCCACAGTAGACGTTAAAAATACAGTACAGTAAAAAATAGTTAAATTAATTAAATTAAAAGTGGGCGCATTCACCATAACCGTGTTTTGAGGGAGCTTCAGAAACCTATAGGCAATGAAATGTTACCTTTTTGTTGTTTTTATGCTTAAGCTTTCCTTTTATTTTTAAATATTGCCTTGGCCAATGAAATAATATTGAGAAAAGAATTGTTCTGGTTCTGATTACGATTGCTAAAAGGTTTAGGATCATGGCAAATAACCAGTGACTAGGTGGTGACTGCTTCTTCTATTGCAAGAATTGGTGTATATGTATCTGCTTGCCTACCTGACAAGCCACATCTTTTCCTCTATCCTGTTTCAATCCACATATGCATCATTTGGGGATTTATTGTTAGTTTTAAAGCAGTTAAATTACGTAGATAGTTAGAAAGAGAGAGGGAGATTCCTCTTCCTCAGATTTCCTTTCAGTCCATTTAGAGTTTAAAGGGATATTTATCTTCCCCCGATGCACTCCTGGTTTATTTCACATTCACTGGCTCACAGTGAATCATATTGGGCTAAGTCCCTGGTTCATGCCGTAAAGAGCTGCAAACCAAGCGGAGGAGACTCTGGGTGTTTTATGTTGGAACTCCCCCACCCCCCAGTCTCTCCATTAGACTCTGAGCAGTATCTGATTGCTGATGGCCATAATGGAGGGAGAACTTCTTAGACCCCTGGATGATTTCCCAATTTCTGAGCAACATCTGAGTATGCTCAGAATGATACTAAAAAACCACTGGAGTTCTGCGTGTCTCTTTATTAGCCATTTCTACGTCTGCATTGTTTAGAGTGAGTCATCCTTTTTCCTTATATTCTACCTTCAACGCTTCTGTCAAGGCCTCTCTCACTTGGTGCACATCCTACGATGTTGCTGGCTACCAACTATCAACCTGGCTGGATCAAATAGAACTCATTGACTTTGAAACTGCACATCTCATTCAACATAGCAACAGTACTTAGATTATATACCGCCCATTTACAGCACTTTCTGGGCAGTTTATAATGTGAGTATATTGCTCCCAACAATCTGGGTCATCATTTTGCTGACCTCGGAAGGATGGAAGGCTGAGTCAACCTTGAGCCCCATCAGGATTGAACTCTGGACTATGAACATCGTTTGCTGCAATACTGCATTCTAACCACCGTGCCTCCAAATCTCCTCAGATGCTGCTTTTTCAAATAAATCTGAAAACTTCAGAAGAGTATATTGAGGTTTTACACATTCACATCTTCACTTAAGCTTAACAATGTCTTTTTTGTGTTGGTTTGTATCTGTTCCTATAGAAATGTTTCTGGTGTGTGTGAAATGCAAAGAAGGTCATATGTTAGCTTGATTGTTTTGTTTAAATTCCAGGATGTTGTCGTTTTTTAAATAGCTTTTGCTTAGCTTTTAAACCATATCAGACTACTGTCTTTTCCTGGGAATACATTCTAGAAGTGGAACATCATTGCTAGGAAGACATTTTACCCTAATTGCCATCTAGTACACAAAAATAAGGGAGGTATAATCCACGTTATGATACCTTTGTTTTCCACACCTTTCTGTTCTTTTTCCATAGAATTTGTAAAACAGCAAATGAACTCGCAGGCCAGTTTTAGTCTCCAGGATGCAAGCTGACAATTCAAATAAACAAATAAAAGTTGTTTTCTTCTTCTTCCTCCTCTGCAGATCATGTTGTATGTGAAGAGGAATTCAAATATGCAATGTTGGCTTTGAACTGTATTTGCCCAGCTACATCAACACTTATCACTTTATTGGTTCATACTTCAAGAGGGCAGTAAGTATAACATTTCTCTCAATGGATGGAGTGAACGTGTGAAAGTGACTGTTATGTTGATTATTGCTTGAACAGGAAAAACTGTACATTGATTCTATCTATGATTTAAAAGTGGCCCTTGTCCACTGATTCACAGTGTTTTGTGCTTTCTGCTCTTGTAATCATAACAAACACAGGTGATTACCAGTAGTTACAGGAAATAAAGTATAGCACTTTATTAGGAAAGATTAGGTTAATAATTTTCAGAGTTTAGAGATTACTTTCTCCTGTGTGCTCTTTCCCAGTCTCTAAGATTCTAGACTTTGCCTTGTATTCTTTCTTCTGAAGGATAGATAGTATAGCTTTCCTCTATTGGAACCCAATGTAGTTTTTGAAATCTTTACTCCATTTCACATGGTTATTATGGAATAAAAGATTCCTAAACTGGCTAGCAATGGAGAAAAAAATCTGCATTGCATTCACTTAAATAGTATTTAATCTAGCTTTAAGTAAATGCATTTATCTATACACCCAGTTAAATAGATAGTATTAAAATTGGCTATTGGCTGTGGTAAAAAAAAAAATAAACATAATAAAAGCTACTTTGTATTTATTTTTTAAAAAATATTCAGAAGGTTGGTATATAAATAATAGAGATAATCTCTTCTTGAAGATACTAAAATCAACATGTGATATCACATGTATCCTAAAGATAGTTAAAGTCAAGAAGAGAGATTTACTCCAGGAAAGTGAATACTGAAGAGAAATTTATCTTATTATATAAATGGTCCCCCTTCAAATCTATTAACTGTACTTGCAAAATGATGTTATTTTTTACAAATCTCTAATATCGCAGCCATTTTCTCAAAATTGTTTTTTTTTCTCCAATCAAAGCAGGCGATGTAGGTTTTCTTAAATTATAATCTGAAAAAATTGACTGCTGTTCATGAAATCCCCATAACCTCTAATTTGTATGTCTTTGTAAAATCCTATTATTTATACTTTTGTGTCTTAACCTTTGAATCCTTCCCTCCTCCCTTCATCCCTGATGAAACCTTAAAACGCTAGATAGCAGGGAACAGTTGAAGCTTTCTATTATGAGAATACAAAATATGTAGCTGATATATTTCTACCAGCTTCTAAAACAAAAGAGTCTGTCAAGCAAAAGCTGTAAATTTCAGGGTAAAGTTATATAGCAAGGTACTTAATGAAGAACATACAAAAGTTGGAAATAAAAGCTACGAAAAAGCTAGAAATAAAAAATGGACATTAACCCACAAGCCTGTTTAGCCTTCTTGTGGCTCTTCACTAAATCCCCGAGGTGGACACCTGGCCACAATACTGAGCCAGACAAAATCAGGATGCGAAGAGTGTGCATGTTATTAGCAGGCTGAAAAGCAGCCTTGCCTGCCAGCTGAAAGTGGCAGAGGGAAAAATGGTACAGTAACTTCATTAGCATTGTTATGCTCAGCCAAGTATAGGCAGAATTCTGAACTGGTGAAAATCTAGCAATTTTCAGTAAATCAGTAAGTCATATTCATTAACATAAAAGGCTTTATGCTAAGATAAAAATATTGTTTTGCTAGTAATTTAATTTCTATTCTGTCTTAATTTCAAATTGCATTTTATTTATGTTTATTTGGAATGTAACAAAACAATTCCTGACCTTTTCCCTATTGTGAACTTTCCAAACAGTAAGTTTATCCAATAATGCAAAATGTTTCAAAGGGCAAAAGGGTAAATTGCAGATGGCAATTTTTAAAAAAAAGGTCTATACTAGGGAGGGGAAAAAATCCATTTTTTTTTCCAGGCTGTGCTTTCTGTGATATGAGCAGACCAGAACTGAGTGCTTAAGTATTGCTGCAGGATGCTATCTTTGCTGTGAAATTGAACGTAGTTGGGCGAGGGACTACGGTGGTTCTCAATCATGCATGTCATGTTTATGGAGATGCTCAGTCATCTAGGTCAGGGGTGTCAAACTCATGACGAAACGTTGTTGTCATGTGACGTATCACAACTCCCCCCCTTTGGTAAACCGGGGCTGGGCCAGTGTGTGATGCATCCAGCCCGCGGCCCATGAGTTTGACACCCCTAATCTAGGTCATAGTTGTCCCAAGGTGATTTTCCAAAATGCGACTGGACTTTCCTGGGTTTTTTTCCTTGAAAATCTTTCACTTCACATCCAAGAAGCTTCTTCAGTTCTGAAGTTCAGAAATGAAGCTTCTTGGATGTGCAGTGAAACATTTTCAAGGGGGGGGGGAAAAACCCAAGGAACTAGAGTTGCCTTTTGGAAAATCACCTTTGGGATTCTATTTATGTTACATATATCTACCGCTTACATGCATAGACTGATGCTAACTCTCTGTATGTATCTGTGTTTCAGAGAGGGCCAACAGTCACCAGAACAGTGGCAGAAAATGTATGGGAGATGCTCAGGGAATGAAGTATATCACATTAACTTGGAGGAGAGTGTGTTTTTTGCTGAATATGAAGGAAAAAGTTTTACATACGCATCTTTCCATGCACACAAAAAGTAGGTTTAGTTTATTACAATACAATCAAGAGCCTTTTAAAAATTTCCCTTTTGAATGAGACCTTGACTTTGGGTTCCATTGATTAGATAGGTTTGTTGTTACTGAAGTGGCTAGTACCGTGTTTCCCCAAAAATAAGACAAAATATTTTCTTTTGACCCTCCAAATAAGGACTTGGCCTTATTTTTGAGGAGGTCTTATTATTTTTCAGGTGCAGGAGGCAGCAAGCCCACCAGCCCCACCCTCTCTGTCCTACCATCTGCTTGCCTGCGGCCACAATGACCCAAGTTCTCCTTGCAACCTGGCCTTCGCCTGCCCTGCTTGCTAGCCGCTGAACAGCTGACTCTGCTGCTCTGGCCTCACGGGGCGGGGCTCTTCCTGGCAGAACACACACACACACACACACACACACACACCCCATCCCTCTAAGGCAGCCACATACTTTCACTAACTTGCTTTCTAGCTCCATTCTCCGCTCCACGGATGCTGCCCGACCATTCCCCAGCCGGATGTTTACTTGCAATAAAGAGCTGTTGTTACTGAATCCTTGTGTGCCTCCTTTACCCGACCTAGCACCCACAAACTACTTTTCTTGCCCTGCACGTGGCAGTGGAGAATGGAGCAGGAAAGCAGGTTAGTGGAGGGATGAGGCTGCCTTGGAAGGTGTGGGGTTAGGGATCTCTCTCTCACACACCCACACACCATCCTTTCCTTAGGAGCTCTGCTCTGAGAAGACTTCAAATGGAGCATTTGGGGGATGTGCGTCTGCACCGAGATCCCAAGGAAAGAACGATTGCCAGGAAAAGTGGGGGAGAGATTTTGCCTCCTATCTGAGTCTCTGCTGAGCTTCAGAACAGGGTAAGAGGAAGGAAAATCTCCCCTCCCCATTTTCAAGTGGTTTGCAAAAATGCCCCATTCCGAGCCTTCAATCCTGCAATCCTGGAATATGCCGAAGGGTCAAAATGGGGCGTTTTTGCAAACAGCTTGAAAATGTGGTGGGGGATATTCCTGCCTCTCACCCTATTCTGAAGGTCATCACAGACTGAAAACAGGATAAGAGACAAAATCCCCCCTCCCTTGACCGATTTTCAAGCCGTTTGCAAAAATGTTCCATTCCGATCCTTCAATGCTGCAATCCTGGATAATGTGAAGGCTTGGAATGTGGTGTTTTTGCAAACCGCTTGAAAATGGGGAGGGGGATTTTCTTCTTCCGATGTCCCAGGTGTATTGATTCCCATATGCCTTCCTTTCCTGCTGTGGCTGTCACTGTTAGCTAAGGAGGGCATGAGGCATTTGGGTTGGGTTGCTCGGCCTCCGGCTTCTTTTCCAATTGGCTTCAAAAGCGACCGGCATTTGCTGGAGGCCGAGGCCTGGGCGGCCCCCCCAAATCACCTGTTTTGTGAATGGAGCGGCTCAGCTGATCCAAGTAAGGGGCCAAGAAACCCTGAGGTGACCGGGGAAGGGAAGGGCTGCCACCTCTCCTGGCTAAACCCACCCCTTCACTAGGGCTTATTTTCGGGAAAGGGCTTGTATTTTTGCCCAGGACATGTCTTATTTTCGGGAAAACAAGGTATATATTAACATGTAAAAATAAAAAAACTGAGACATTAATGTTATTACCATATTCTATTCCGCTAAAGAGTTTGTAATCAATGCTTTTCTTTCTTTTTCCCCTTTCCCCAATAGTTTCATTTTCTTTTTTTTTATTTTACAGCCTGATGAACTTTTGCTCCCCTGGGTTTTCATAGTATTGTTTGGCTCAACGTAAGAAGACGGGCCTACAACTGAGGGCCTATTGCAATGTCTCTGGATGTAGGCTGTAGAAGTAATCTTGATTAGCTGGGAATCTCAGGCTGCTAAGTTGATCTCTTTCCCCAAATTAAACATTCAAATGCAAAAACAAACAGCAAAATAAAGGCCAAGCCTGAAGAATGATTCCTTGGGATGTTTTACAAAGCCGCTACGTTTTCTAAAAGCAGAATAAAATTCATTGCTCTTGAGCCGAATTGTACACCAAATCTTAAGCAGCCCAAATGGATCTAAAATATTTTCATATTGTCTCTCTTAATTTTATAGTAATATGAGATGCGAAGGAATGGGTGTAAGCACATATACTGCAAGCTGTTCAGTTTTTCCTAACAATATTTCTTTTTACTTTTGACATTAGGTTTGGTGTTTGTTTAATCGGTGTTAGGAGGGAAGATAACAAAAATATTTTGCTGAACCCAGGTCCCCGGTATATTATGAGCTCTTCAGACATATGTTTTTATATTAACATCACAAAAGAAGAAAATTCTGCTTTTAAGAAACAAGAGCAGCATCGGAAAAACCACCCAACAAGATTGTTTTATCATGGTCCTACTCGACTGCCAGTGCACAGCATAATTGCTAGCATGGGTAAGCCACACTAAGTAATGTTGCCTCAGTAAGGTCATGGTATATGGCAGGACTCTCCAAATTTGGTAACTTTAAGACTTTGTGGGCTTCATCTCCCAAAATTCCCCAGCCAGCATGAGAAATTATTCAAGTCTTAAAGCTGCCGAGTTTGAAGACTCCTGGTATGTGAGAAAGACCTTGAGAGTGGGGGGGGGGGTGAAGGGAAGAGATGCTGCCTAAGGGATGGTTAAATAAGGGAGGGCTTAGTCCACAGCTGAATAATGGCACAAAAAGAGAGTCAGAGAGGAAGCTTCCTAACTTCTTAGGTTGTAAAAGAGACCTTCAGATAGAAATTTCCGTCTGGTCTACCTGACAGAAGGCTGACAGTTTTAATAGAGTACTGTACGTAAACTATAAAAGAAACCATAAATACAATTTTTTTGGTCTTCTTCAAATAATACGCCCAGTGAAGTGGAGTTGGGATGAACAGTAGAAACAGAGTACTGAACTTTCTGTTTAAATAACTGATACATAAAGGTTTATCATTCACAAGCCAATTGGATTTGAAATGGTACTTACTTTTCATTCTATCAGCCTAAGTTTTCATGTTACTGAATCAAACATGAAACTGGCTTTATTGTTCACCCTTCCATTTTGAGAAATGCCTTCCTGATGAATGAAGTGCCTGATGAAATGCCTTCATTTACTTCCTCAAAGTAAATGCAATCATAATTATGGGGACTGTTGTTCCGGCTTTATATTGCGGTAGGTTATTTCGCAAAGGGTGGAGTAGAGAGACAATGAAGGATCCTGTCAAAGGACACCTTTATTTCTCTCCTTTTCCTTACTCATGGAAGATTTCTCTGAACAAGGATTAACTCGAAACATAACATAAACAAGATATAATTTATGTTTTCTCTTCTGGAATTATAGCCTTTCAATAATAAACAGTCTTCTGTTACTTAAGCCACTCCCTGAACTAAGGCATTTAACAATAGCATATTATCTCAAGGGGAAGTACTTAAGGGTAAGAGTGGTAATGTTGTCAAGGGATTAGGTTCAGTTACACATTTCTTATGTAAGGTCTGTCTAGTAGCCTGGTCAGTGAGATATTCCACTGACTTCACCCAGCATCAGAGTCTTTACTCATCCACCTCCATCTTGATTTTGCCTTGCTTCACTTCCTGGACGACTGCATTGTTCTTCCTCCAGCAAGCCTCTGTGTCTGGGAATCCCCCCCCCCCCCGTTTATTCTGTTTGTTGCCTCCCGTAGTCTGTGCCCTTCTTGGCTCTGGTGTGGCAGCTGCTCCCTTGACTGCTGCTGCTGTGTCAGTCTTCATGTGATGACATCTTTATTTGCGATTTCTTTGAATAAGGACTAACTTGAAATATAGCATAAACAAAATAGAGTTTACTTTTTCACTTCTAGAATTATAGTCTCTCAATAACAAACAGTCTTTATGTGGTGACCATTCAAGTGAGGTGAGACCGGGGGGGGGGGGCTCACAAAAGATAAGAAGAGGGTGGAATTTGCAAACAAGTAGAAGGAGAAAATGTTGCCAGTGGCAGGAGCCCAACAATGTCACCCCTTCCCATCCAATAACGTTTGTCCAATAACCTCCGGTCTCAGGGGGTGCAGCCAGCCCCAGCCTACCTGGAGGGCCTTGGAGAACTCACTAAACTGGCAGCTGAGGATGCCAGCAACTTCAAGGAAAAGGAAAAGTCCTAGACCTTGATCATCCTACAGTCTTCTTCTCAGACCCTCTTCTTATACATTTGATGATGAGTTTAAATATTTATTTAGGGTTTTTAAAAATATGTTCAGTACTAGTGCTATTAATAATAAGCAGCTTGGCTGCCAACCCCAAAGCAGCTGGAACACTATTTCAACACCATCGACATTGACAAAATCACCGTCAGTCAATTGCAATAAAATAGCTTTACCGTATTTTCACCCATATAACCC